ATATTTAATTTTAGATTTTTCTCTGTCAAGGCGATTCGTTTTTTAAGTCCACTTTTTTTAACCTCCTTAAAATACATTTTCTAAACTCTCTTTTTTACTTTTTACCAATTCTTACCCCTTTKATCATTTTATTCAATAACTTTGGAAACCCAATAAAACCAACAAAGATCCCCAACACGAGCGCAATAGCCGAACCGATGAGTATTTTCTTAAACATTTTTAATTTCAATTAAACCTTTTTGTATGAAATTCTTTAAAAGGAGAAATATTTTTTTGAAACGCGCGTACCGAAACTGAAAAAGTAACTGTTTGAAACAATGCACCGTTTGCTGATTTTATTCCAACATCGCCGAGGTCCTCGATGTATTGATATATATGCGTGTATAATTGCAGCAAAACACTTTGCTCCCATACTAGCAATTATTTACTCATACTCCGCCAYATGTGTGTGTATGCATGTATTTACAAACGTGTCCTTTCCCTTGTTAATAAATTTTATAAATTTTTAATAAGCCCCTTTCATCGCGCTGCTCCTTGTAAGTGAGTGTTATATGTATATGCACATTTTAATAGATTTGTCGGCATTTGTTAGTATCGCGTTTTCGATTGATGAGGCGTGGTTTCACTTTTCTCACATTTACAGTCCAAATATTTACGGTACACACACATACCCTTGCAGAGTTTGGGATATACACATATTAGAGAAAACAACTGTCGATGGGTTACATTCCTGTGTGACACTTCGAGACACAGTTATTTTGGTTGTCTCGTGCATTTTAAAATACTTGACGAAGGTTGAGGTCGGACAGAGACATATGGAAGGATTGTGTGCACATCTTGAGGCTTGCTTGAGTAACACTTTTTTTTGGATAATTAAGTTATTCAATTAATAAGTTCAATAAATAAGTCTTTCTGGATTATATAGTATTTCTTACATAATTTATGYCTGCAAACCATCGTTGAAAGGATTGAAGGTGAAAGGTGAATCGCGGCGAATCCGAAAATTGACTTTAAAAACTATTTCGAGAATTGAAAAAAACGTTTGCACAAATGTATTGGCGCCAAGGAGGAATACTTTGAGGGGAACGACATAGATTTTGAAGAATAAATTAAGAGTTTTTAAATTGTGAAGAAAATCTTATAATTTTTTTGCCAGTGGTACATTCGATACATATGCAAAAACAAGATCAGATTTTTTGTAGTTGACAAGTAGTAATAACACTTGTTTAGGCGATGTTAAAATAGCTAAGACGGATTCGGTAATTTTTAATTACTTGGTTTAGTTACATACGTCTTCATTTCTCACTACTTCCGATCCTTGCTTTAATCAACGTCAATCGACAATATTCTGTTGAAATACTAAAACAAAATTGTGGTTATAATGGTTGTATAGGACATGCTAAAACTTGGAGGGAGGCGAAACGAATGTACCACTGGTGCAAATCCTTTCACAAAAGAGCAGGGTTGAAGCTCAGAGAGCTGATTATGGCATATAGAAGGTTAGTGCCAGTTCAACCTATATAGTTTTTTGATAATTTGGCGCAACATTGTATTAAATTATTGAGGCCATTTAGACTTAAATTATTTCAGACTGCTACATATTTCATTAAAATTTACATATAAAATTATGTGCATATTTAAATTAAAGACATTTTTTCGTAGAAAATGCTATGTTTTTGATTTGCTTTACCGACACGATGCTTTACGTATTCACATTTAGCAAAGACGTAAACCTTTATTTGCCGTAGCTGTTGAGCTCGTTTGTATATGGAAGTCTACAGTGGTGGCTAAAAGTTAATATGATCAAATCTGAAGTAACAATTTAAGGGGCATTAGAAGCTTCAAACAATATATTTTTTTTCATTACATCTCTTTAAAAATAATCTAAGAATATATCCCCAAAGTTATAGATGGGAACTGGAAATATTTTCGATGCTAGAAGGGAAATAGTGACCGAGCGTCYAGCAGATATATGAGCGCTTGGGCAGAAAGCGAAAACTTTGATGCGCGATTTCTTGGTTTTCATTTCTACGATTTTTCTTAATTAGCGGACAGGATAGAACAAAAACTAAAYGCCATATGGAATTGGGGCAAAGTTTATTATCTTTGGCATTAAATTATCTTCTATTAAAATTAAAACGATTTAAGAAGAGTCGAGTTTGAACATATTTTTAAACAACATAAAGTCAATGTTTTTTTGGTCAAAAACCACTTTTTTCAATTTATAAAAAAATTGTAAAATTTAAAATTTTTGTGAGAATTTTTTTAGTTTAACTAGAATATAAATTATTAAAAAACCTGCATCCTGTCCGCTGTTCGACAGATGCACATGCGAGATGCATCGGGCAATTGCTTCCCAAAGGCAAAATATCAAAGATTTCGTATCCAAAAAATGTATGAATGATGTTTAAACATATAACTATGTATAAACCCTAGAAATTTCGCTTTAATCAATTATTTCTCTCCTTCCCAAAAAACTCTCAAACAAAAAAAGCCGAACTTTTTAAGCCTCTAAAGCAGGCTCCCTCCTTAAAGGAAATTAAAATATATTTTATGAAAATAACTTTTTTTTATGAAATTATTATCATTTGCCGTTTTATACCAAGAAATTGTCAAAAAACATTTCTGATTGTAAAGAAATATTGGCAAGCAATATCTCAGCCTTTCCACAGGAAGCTATACGTATTTATTTTAGAAAACTACGCATTTTAAATAATTATARCCATTTTGAATGCCACTTTTATCTATAATAGTTTGAGGGAGGATATTTTACCAAAGGAATGACGAWAAAAATAATGAGAGAATAATGTAAGCAGTGTTTCGATTTTCCAGGAGCTTAACATTGCCGATATATAGGTTCCACACGAGCTAGYGCAAAGGACCGAGTTCCCATTTGTGATTCGTCATTTCTGATCGGGTTGTTTACTGATGATGAAATGCAKGTCACGTACGAGTTAAATGAAAACTGTTCACAACTGGATCTTTTGAAGGAAGTAATCTCCCAGAAGCGGTTAATATTTTGAGCGAAATAAATAATATAATACAAAATACAAAGATATGACTGTTTCACACCTCGTGAAGCATTCAGTGATTCGGAAATTTGCCTCTCGCGAGCCGCCATTCATCTCTGTTAATAACGATGACTTCAAAAAGGCTAAAGAAAATCATCTTGTTGCCGTCGGAGAGACAGCAGTGATCTTAACATTTCTTAAGGATCGACTCCAGCATTTTGGGTCATGCTTTTTGTTTGGCGCGCCTCAATGTTACATTCTTAACAAAAAGTCTTGAATCTTTCGCAAAATCGGCGTCGAGTAAATGTCTGTTGACGAGACGTGGTTTTATGAATATGACATCGAAACTCTCTTCTTCTTTTTCTTTATTAGAGTATGGCCAGAAATGATTCTTTTACATATGGCTCACGACTTCCTGTCATAGCTCAAGTAACCTCTGGGTAGAAGSGTGAGAAGGCGAAACATCCCCCCACGGGTTTGAGATCCGCCACCTAAAAAGCACTCCTAATGAAAAGAAGCCTCGGATGAGAGACCCTSCTTTTTTAATATAAGGATCTGGCAAATGACGCTCCAAATATGAGCCGAAAAAAAAAACAAAATTTGCGGAAGACACTSAAGTCCATCACAGTTAACGCTTATAGCAAGTGTGTGCAGTTGAATCAAGCCTTGACATGTTTGTATTGGGTCATTAGCATATTTTGATGGCAAAAAGTACCCGAAAAATAAAAATATTAGGTTGTCAAAAAAGTCTTGCGGTATTTTCGCTAGTTGGCGCTGAGAGCGCGTAGTTCTAGTTTTATTCCTCGCATCGGGTCATGCTATACCTTCTTGGAAAGATCATTTCACGCGCTAACACCAGTTTGATTGATTGTCGTTTCTTTTAAGGCGTTCGTGAGTTATAGCGTCGCAAACATGGAGCAAAATAAAGAGAAAATACGGCAGTTACAGTACTACTACGATAAAGKCAAAAATGCATCTCAAGCCGCCAATAAAATTTGTGCAGTTTATRGACCCGATACAGTTTCCATTTCCACCGCACAACGATGGTTTCAACGTTTTCGTTCGTTGAAAATTCAATAAAAATACCGCAAGACTTTTTTGACAAACTATTAAAACACAAAATATTTAATTATTCATCAATATTTATTTTCTCGCCTTCAAAATAATTCCCAACAGATGTAATATACTTATGACAAGGAGGATTTTGTCAGTCCTCGAAATATTCTTCAAAAGCCTTCTGCTCGTTCAGCGAATTTTGTTTTATATCTTCGACCGACTGAAATTTTTATGGCGAAAATAAATCAGTCCGGTTCAAATTTGATCACATCGCATATTACTGTTTCATATAGATGAATATATTGTTTCCCAGCAATATCCCGCATCATTCCAACAGAWACAAGCGAAAGGAAAATAAAAGAAATTGTATATCGTAATAATATCTTTATATTTATTAAAAAATTTGGCATAGAAAAATACTAAAAACAACATTCACGAATAGGTTACAGTGGAAACATATTCCTTTGCGTTTACCAACACATACATAACCATGTATGCATATGTGTGCATGTATGTAAAACTCACATTTATATATTTTAAATATATAAAACATAGGYCTGTGTATATAGGTATATGTATGTATGTATATACGATTACATGTGAATTCATAACACTAGGTGTATATATATCGGTGTTGCATATATGTATGCATTTGTTGTTGACTTGCATGTTGTTGCATTTCTGTACATTTAGTTATGTGATTAACACAATTTGTTGCTCTTTCAATTACTTACATTTAAAATCATTTTTGTACATATAAAACTATTATAACTACTAGRTGTTAGTGTGTGTGTGTGTGTGTGAATAACCAACTCTTTTGCATATTTTTCTAACTGCTTTAAAGAAACACACACAACTGCATTTGCGCATTAGAATATTTATAAATTTGTAGAAAATCAAATTCATCAAAAATAAGCCAAAAAGTATTTTCCAACAAAACGCACGCCTATAAATTACCATTTTCCAAGTGAGTGTGCATGCGTGTACTTAAAATTGTGTTTGCTAAAGTTAACAGCTTCTTGCACTTGTTGTAAATTTGATTTAAATTTGTTAAACACCTACATACATATGCACTTGTTATCTGCCTAAGGATAGTCGATAGTTTTAGTTGTAAGACGCTTGTAACGGTGTGAGTGTGCAGGTGTATAGT